GACATTTCATTACCAAACTAGGCAATATCATTAGTCTGATGATATTACCTAGTTTGGTAATAAAACATCTGCAAGAAAATTACCAAGTTCAGAGAACATCAAGGACCCCACACCCTGAGCCACAAATATTCTCTTCTATCAATAACTCTTAGTCCAAACTAGACATGTCCTTTTCCTGCATTTGCTTTGCCTGCCAACCATAAGCAGCACTGTATTACCACTGTGTGGTGAAACACTTCTTAAAATTGCCAATAAACAAAAACAGAGCATTGGAAGCCATTGCAAAACTGCCTCACAGAATAGCAGAAAACAAAGATGGGATAATAGCAAGACATCACTGTACCTTTCTTGGGAAAACTTGAGAAGCCATGAAACAGTTCACCCAGCAAATCAAGGAAATATTGAAATTGGTCTTTGCAGTGTTTCCAGGAAAACAGGAGCTGAAGAGCACAGATTCCAGTCTGCTGGAAGGCCTGTGGCAATGGCCTATCTTCATAAGTTCAGCACTTGCATGTGGAAAAGCCTATGATGCTGTTGTGAGATTGTTAGAAGGATTTTGCTGTCCTTGTTTAAAAATATACCCAAAGGTATAGAGGAAGGCATTTGAACCTGAAGCTTATTGAAATTTACTGGATGTTTCACCTAAGGCCAAATTTCCTCTTTAACGTGTTTTACAAATTTGTCATTTACCCAACAGCAAAAAACAAAAACAAAACAGAGCTGAAGAAAGACTGAAGGAAGACTCTTAATAAAAAAAAAATAGTGATGAGACCTTATCCACCAAGATGCACATTTACTTTTTAAAAATTCCAAACAAATAAAACAACAATGTAAATAGGCTAAGGCAGATTTTTCCTTAACTGGAGTTGAGTAGAATCTCAAGTGCCCTCTTGTGTTTATAAGATAGACTACAGTTGATTAAAATCTTTCTTACCTAAAATTTCCTTTTTACATGTGTAGGTATCACTTGCTATTAACAGGTGACAGGTTCTACATACTCCTACTGGCATGTATATTACAAACCATTAGCTAAACTAATACATGAAGGTATTGTTGCAATAACAAGCTGGATTAATTGCTTAATTTCTAGTGTTATGATCAAAAATATGGGTGAAAACCAAATGTTTGAAGAGCTGTCATAGGGAAGAGGGTGTCAGTTTATTCTCTAAGCATCTGAGGGCAGGACAAGAAGCACTAGGTGGAAGCTAGTCAGTGCAAGAGCCAACCTGGAACAAAGAAGAAACTAAGAATAAAACTTCCTGAGAATAATTACTCAATGGAACAACTTGCGTCCCAGAGTTGTGGATGGAGACTGCATAACCATTTGTCTGGGATGGGATAAGGTCTTACACAAGGGGTTGGATTAGAAGATCTCCAAGATCATAGATTCTATGATTCTAATATTTTAAACTCTATTTAATCTAGAATCGGTAGAGAACTCTTTTGATTTTTTTTAAAGAATACAAAATGAAGCACCTGTCTGGACAAAATTAAGAGAAATGTCGCAATTATAGTTTAAACACCAATTGATATAATTTTCAATTCTCTCCACACACTGTAGGTGATCAAGGAGTCCACCCAAGAACAGAAGGAAGTGGAATGAAGTAAAAACCAGATCTCAGTACATGGAAAAAAAAATCTAAGTTAAGATGCTAAGAGAGCTTTGCACCCTTCCAGTCATCAACCTTGACACAGAAACAGTTTGGGATCTGCAGCAACCATGAAAATAAGAAATATGCAAATTTAATTACCATGCTAGAAAATAACCAATTACTCAGTAGCTGGTGCTTCAGTTGACTATAATGGCTTTTTTGAGTTTATTTTTATCTTCAATATTTCCATTGCAGTGACTTTTGGAGTGTCCCAAATAGCACAGTATTTAGACCTGGCTATACTTTGCTAAATAATTGTTCTGGGCCGGCTTAACAGCAATAACTTGATGCTTCTCATTAGAACCAATAAATAAATAGGAATCATGTTACTGTATTACTGATTACATAAAAGTGCTGGTTATGTTTATGTGTGAAAATCATTGACTTAAAGGGAGTATAATTTAGAAGAAGCTTCTTTACTGAAGATATATGTCATGGATTGTAAAGCTTAGATCTATTATTTCTTAGTAATGAAATCAAATACATTACTTGGAAAGGGACAAGGGAACTGATGCATGAGACATTCCCACCTTGGCTTCTGTGTTGGGATTATTCTCATTTTCTGATAAAACAGCCATAATTTTAAGAAATGTATAACAGACTGAAATTTGAGGGGCAAAATATCCTACTACGAGTTTACAATGAAAATAATCCATGAGAAAGTTTTAGCTATGTATGTTAAAGGCATAGCTTCTTTCCTAGGAAAAATATGCAACGATTCTCAAAGGGCTTCCTGTACCTTTGTAAGAGGGAACCCTAGTAAGTAGGAGGCAAGTTTTATCTAAAACAAAAATCTTTCTCCTAGAAGGCCTATAAATTTACACATCTTAGCTCAACCTCCCTCTTTGGAGTAATGCTTGGTAGTGGAAAAATAAGAGAAAAAAAATTAGGAAAAAATGAAATGTGTCTTTAGCACTGAGGCATGCAGTTAAGGGCTAAGCCCTTCTTCCTTTTCCTCTTTGAGAGATAGATCAATCTCACAAAAGAGAAATAAAATATTTTATTTTTTAAGAAAGGGGGAAGGAAAAACATAAAAATACCATTTTAGTTTTAAGAAATTGCATGCAAAAATCAATGAAAACGGAGATAAAAATATAGGATTATTCAAATCACAAATCATGAGTTTTAAAAATAAAATCCCATAGGAAAAAAAAATAAAGGGCAGTATATGACTATGTGCAGATCAAAAGATGTTGCTTGTCTATTCTTACTTTAGAAACCACTTTGCTATAAAGAGGTTCCAAGTTGTATAATACAATTAGTGATCTTATACAAAAAAAGTAAATAGTCCCCCCCCCCAACCTGGTGTGCAGAGGATGACAAGGAGAAGTAGTGGGAAAAACATCAAAAGATGAAGTGGCAAAAGAGAGGAAGATAGAGGAGGAAAGGTTAGGTGTTTCTGAAGGGCAGTGACAAGATGCCTGTAAGATTTGAAGTTTGGCAGGAAAATGCTTGATAGAATTTCATTTGGTTTAACCAAGTCAGTGAAAAAATAAAAAAGTTAAAAATTGATATGATTTCAAATATTGAAGCAATTGCTCTAAATCAGGGTTAGGCAACCTATGGCACTTTGAAGGTTACTGAATGACAATTTCCAGCTTTCCTAAGAATTATGGCTAATGCCTGCCCTAGCTGTAAATGACAATCCACTCTGTGCTAAAGGCTCAGAAAGTTATTCTTTTATCATTGCTTCAGCTTAAAGCAAAGCAGAATTCAATTGCAGAGCAGAAAGTTAAGCCGGTAACAGAAGTTAGGGTTTCCCAAGGTGTGTTGACAAGGAAAGAAGGAAGAAGACAACATGTCTTTCACAGAGCATACCTGTAAGAAGCATTGAGAAACTCTTCCCCCCCCCCCAACTAAATAAACACAATTTGAGGGGAAAGGGAATTTGAAGAATGACTGGGTTTTCACACCTGTTATATCAGCCACATGTTCAAGCATAATTTCAAGAAATCAACCTGCTTAATGAAATAACACATAAATCTAGGGACATACATTTCTTATATGACCATTTTAGATGGCTGTGTGAATGCTGTCACTTATTTTATACAAATACTGCTAATTGCATTTTTCACTTTTGATTCCTTGCATTGCACGCACTTATGCATGGACTACATGCTGTTGTTGTTTTTAATGGTACTTTGGAAAAGAATACTAAATGATGTTTATGCTTAACCTCTTTTTTCCTTCAATGGCTTATTTTTAAATTAATAGCTATGACTGTGGAAGAAATGGCATAACTTTTATTTTTCTTTTAAAAAATAAAACTAGGGAATATGGTGGAACTCATCATTTTCCACCACAAAGAGTTACACACAACTTATCTATTTTCCAGTAAAACTAACTGTCCTAACACGAGCAATGTGGATCATATAAAAATGATTAAACATTATGACTAATTAATATTTTGGATATATTGCTTTTAGAATCTCTATGCTAAAATACTTCATAAGTTTCATGCTCTGCTTTGTATGCTAGCCACATAAACATGCTTGCATATTTATAGTAATAGATGAACCTCTAATTATAGTTTTACAGAGGATTGTATGTAAATGCTTAATAGAAACTAAAAGTACAATGAGGCTATAGCAAAAGCATTATTTAAAATTGCAAACTTGTTTATTATTATATTTCTTTTACAATTAAACATTACATCAAAAATTGCTTCTCCTTCAGTTTCTCACTGCTCATTCTGTTTCTTTATTTGATATTCTCCAAAGAATTCTCATAGTGGCTTACAAAGGAACAATATATATATATATATATACATAAACAAAATACAGAAGTTTCTTTTAAGATAAAAGATGCACAAAATCAATTGCTTGTTCTTTGTTACATCAATTAAACTGTATAAGAAATGAATTACCCATCTACCTTCAGTGTCAACCGAATGATTGCCCTATGTGTGACTGTTACAGATTTGCAATATATGTATATTGTTCAAGCATATTTGAACCTGTACTAGTTCAGCGAACAGGAATCTCAGACTGACAATGCTCAGTTAACTATTTTCCTGGATTTTTCTCAATACATATGGATTTTAAATTGATTTACCAATTGGGCTATTATTAGGCATAGAATTCTACAGTAAAAAACTATCATATTTCATATAGAATGAAAAAATATTAGTGTCCTTGCCTTTTGTTAACAGTTGTTTACTCATTGTATATTAGCTCTCATATTTAAGAGAGATGATTGTCTAAAATTTATCTTCACTGAGTGTTCTACAGTATTCTAAAATTGAAATATTTAATTGATAAAGAAACAGTTGCTCAATTAATTATTAAATTAGTTGTGAAACAAATCATCATCATCATTTATTAGGCCTATGGTCATTTTCTTGAGATGCTATTCCATAGCTGTACATTTCAACACATAGAGGCAACAGCAAACAATGTGAATGATGATAAAGAAGATGATGATGAGCACATAGCTTGTGATAATAGCCTTAATAGCATACTGACTTTCAGGATCATCAAGACTTCGTCTGTGGCGACTTTCATATACTACAGATAGCCGGAATCCAGCAACTATTTCTCCTTCTCGCCAACAATAATAAATACCTTTGTCATTCATCTGGGTAAAACGAATGTGGAGGTGATTTCCATGGTCAATGAAGACCCTCATGGTCTTATTAACCCCAGTGAGAAACCTATTGAGATATAATCTTGTTGAATCTTTATCCCAAGCAACAGCATGTTCTGGCCTAGAATCAGGGCAAGCAATGATCAAACCTCTGCCAAGGGACTGCTTGTGGAATTGAATAGGGATATTGGAAATCCAAGGTTTTTCTCCAAGCTTTGAGATAATGTTTGAAATTGGTGCTTCTCCTTCATTTGAAGGTATCTTCCTCTTACAAGATACCATGCAACTTCGTATAACAACTTCAGGCTTTCTCATCTGAATACCATGAAAGAAATTCTTTGGGATTGATTTTGAGCCACAAGATGCCACCTCTTCTATAGTGGTGTGGTACCGCCTGAAGAGAGAAGGACTCTTTATGTAGCAAAGCCCAATTCTTCGTTGCTCACCTCTGACATCACAGCGGTTGCACTTAGTCCAGTCCCAGAAAATGGTGAGGACTGTGAAATTTGCTTCATGGAGGTCATTCTGTGGATGCTGACCCTCATCTGCAAAGGCGACAGCTATTCTCCTTGAAGGCTGTACATCTATATCATAACCGTAGAAGAAATCCCCTTTCTTTGTACCACAGATATAATGCCCTGAATCTTCTACTTGAATCCGGAAGACAATGAGACTAAACATCCTAATGCTGAAACGACGAAGCATGTCACTGCCTACCTTGATGTGGCGTGAGTCTACTATCAAAGTGCCATCAAAATCTGTCAAGACCTTAGTTTGCTGACTGCCCATGCTTTTTTGAAAGTACCAAACTACAGTGGTTATTTCCTCTGGCTTACATTTACAGGGCAATTCAAAACTCATATCAGCCAAGTAAGCAGCATTCTCAAACATCAAGAAAGCTGGGCAAGGATTCTTCTTGAACACATCTTCTTTTTCCATAATAGCAAAGGCATGAAGAACATCAGCAATGCCAAGGACCATAGCTATCACAGCCAATCCTGCCGACACCATTTGATGGCTGTCCATATTATATTATCTAACAGTTTCCACGTCCTATAGCAGAAGCTAATTACAAATTTTGGAGTTTACATTTTAACTATGCACATCAATGAAGAGAACCTTCATTCTAGAATTGCTGGTTTTGTTCAAATTCTTTCAGAGCTGACCTTTTAACAATGTACATCATATGTACATATTATCTTTTCATAAGAAATAAGGACTCTGGAATTGCTTCTGTGAGTTCTAGAATGCCAACTGAGTTCTGATATAGACAAATCTAAGCCCTTGCAGACCATTATGACTGACTGTATAAATGAAACTGCCTCATTATCAGAAAACCTAGGACCACATTCTGCTCTGTTGTTAGAGATTTTCAGATTGTACTGCCATTTCTGTAGCATAATTACTGCAGTGTTACAGTGTTATTTCCTATCATTTTAAGAAAATATTAAAAAATCCATTATGTAATTCTTTAAATGAATTTGATGTTGAGGAACAAAAATTATTTTCCCATTTGCACCTACTGTAACTACAATATTAACACATTCGGCAACCTGTTTGGTTTTTGTTTGTTTTGTCAGGGTTCATAACGTTCATCTTAATCCCAGCCTATCAGCCTATGATTGAAAGGATTTAGTAAGACATCCTTCATTTTACTATTGTAATGTTAAAGACTGCACCCATTATGTTGAAAGTGAGGGTGAATGTGATTAGAGAGGTGCTGATTGGTATTTCAGGCTGAAATGAGCATGCACTTTCCCCTTCAAGCTTCCCAGAACCGATCATCTGACAGAATTGCATAATAGTCTTAAACTGCTCAACCATCAATTGTTCCATTAACTGTTTCATTTTACCAAGATTTAATGTAACATCTGAATTTTTTTTGGGGGGGGAGGAAGACTCAAACAGAGATTCTTTCCCTCAATCTATCTACCCTCTTATTATTATTATTATTTTTTACTGCTATAGTATACTCTAGATACAACTTCATAACGTATCAAATTATATAATTGTTAATCACAATTACGATGACTTAGAGCAGTTGTAATGTAGATAGCCTTTTAATGGCTGAATTTTTTACAATTTCTTTCATGGAACACCAAGGGATCTAGAGATTGAGACAATGATACAAGTGAATCTGGTAGAATCATGTTTTTGTTTTGTTTTGTTTTGTTTTTGCTTTGAGTGTGAGTGTTGTAATTTGAATTGAAACCAAAGCCTGGCTGGGTAGCTGTAAGGAAAATCCAAGGAACTCCTGAACTAGATAAAAAAAACATATGCACTTTGGCATAATATAACATTCCTCTTACAGCTCATCTGCTTATGTTCATCTGATAATGCTAAGCCCCAAAGTCTGATCTTCTTAGTTGAAACTTGTATATGCTATTATGTTTTCTGCTACTTTCACAATAATATCTTTTTATAATGCCATTTCTACTTCAGTGTACACAAGATGATACCAGACCAAACAATTTGACCACTTAATAACAGCAATTTTCTTAACAATGCATAGTCTGCATATTAATCTTTAATAAAGTAATGAAGATGAATACAAATGAAGAGCTATAGGTACTCTCAGCTTGCTAAGGCCTCTCTGGTATCTGTGGCAACTTTGATGGGAAGGATGAAAGAGAATACATAGGGTGTTCTGATCCAAACAAGAGATTTGCTTTATTCCTGTTTGTCACAGACATATTAACTCCAAAGATGGTTAATATTCAGATTATTTATTATTCAGGAATCTCTAAACAATAACTCACAGTTAAGAAGAGTTCTTCTGAGGCACGTATCATAATCTGTCTGTTCTTGTGGTGTAAAAAATTAAAGGTAGATTCACCCCATGTTCGTATGGAGCAAAGGATCCTGTGGCCATACTACACAAAACTTTACATGCTGGCATGTAGCCAGGAAATCCTGTCATAAAACATTGAACTCCCTCCCAATGGCTAGTTAAGACATAGAATTGACCAATTAGAACACAGATATAACCATGTAACAACTAAACTACATTTCCCAGAAGGCTACCCTTAAGGGGACACCATTTTAACCCTTAAAATGCTACTTGCTCTACACACAGTTTTCTAAGCTAAATATATGCTCTGGCCAGAGTTACATACTGGTCCAGCACATAGGGTAAAGATTAAGTAGAAAGTACTATATACTGTAGGTCAGTGGTGGCGAACCTATGGCACGGGTGCCAGAGGCAGCACTCAGGGCCCTCTCTGTGGGCACGCGTGCCGTCGCCCCAGTCCTAGACCTTCAGCTGGGTTTTATAAAACCTTTTCGCTTTAGGCCTGCGCTGCTGTGTACAAAAAAAAAGAGGTTCAATCAATCAATCAATTTCAACTTCTCGCCGGAAAAAAAAAGATCTCGCAAAGTTGTAATTGATTGATTAAACTTTTTAGTCCCACCCAGTCTGCCGTTACCACCGCAGCCACGCCCACCCAATGGGCCACACCCACCCGGCACCCGACGATGCATAAGTGGGTTTTGGGTTGCAGTTTGGGCCCTCGGTCTCTAAAAGGTTCGCCATCACTGCTGTAGGTTCTAGATATATGACAGTTCCATCTGATACCATGATCCAAAACAATTTCTTTAAAATTTCCTTTCAAAATGTTTTATTGCTTTGCTGGGAATAATACAGTTTTTAAAATTGTTCTCTATCAAGACTAAGTTAGTTGAAATCTCACCTAATATTGTATCAAGTTAATATTAGCCTGGAAATATAATACTATTTTTGCTATGACAGAATATGTCAGAATATTGCAGATACTCAAAAGCTTGCTTCCAAACAGTTAATTGGAGTATTGCTATGGTGAGCATCTAGAAATAGAACAGACAAGCAATCTATCATACCGTCGCTGATACCATGTAGCTCTAAAGAATAAAGTGCATTCTCTCAAAATGCCTTAATAACAACCTGTTTATGATAATACTTGCTTTCAGGTTCTTCAATCTGAACGGAAAGTTCTTCTCTATGATTTCAGCTGAGTTGCTTGCTATGCTTACCTATTAAGTCAAAAAAACCTTTAAATAAATATGCTCAAAGATGCCAATATCCGAGTTGTCAGTAGTGCCTTTGATACTTCAAGGACTAAGCCTTGTAACTAAAGCAGAAAATCAAGATGTGTGATACGAAATATGACAAATACTCAAAAAACAAATAATGCATACATTTAAACTGATAAGTTGATATAACATTTTATTGCAATAGAGACAAAAAGCAAGAGGCGAGCACTAGTATAAACTCAAGAATTGATTGAGGACGTTTGGTAAAGGTTCATCAGTTTTAGCATTTTTTTTTTAGTTTCTTTACCTGCTTGACAATGGATTTGAGTAGTGTCTGTACCATCTTCATTTGAAATCTGTTGAATTTCAGAAAAATTGTCAAGGCCAATTTCTATTTTTTGCAATTTTTCAAATAACTGCCTGCAGTTTTCTTTCTCTATCTCACTCAGAAGTTCAATGTTTAGTCCAAAACGTTTCGTGCCTGATAAATTCTCCAAGATATCCAAGATAAAATTGCAGTCTTTGATGCAAGCATTTTGGTTCAGCACCACTAGAAATTCACCCAAGAGGCCAAAAGCAAGATCTATTTGGAAGATGCGGCCCAAGTTTTGGGATCCAAGTTGGAGGAGGAGGAGATAGCGATCTTGATTATTTTTCATACATCTGCGCCAATCTCTGTAGAACTCTGCAGAAGTTTCAGGCAGGCGTTCCAATTCCTAGAGAATTTTTAAAAATGACATAATCCCATCACCTAGATATTATTGTACTTTCCAGCTCCACAATTAAGAACTCAGCTTCTTCATTTTTAAAATATTAATTACATATTATATGGAAACTGAAATTTAAGCAGGGCTGGTAGAAACTGATTTTTTAAAACAAAACAATGGCACAATATATTAATTAATGATGAGCAATCAAAAGTAGAAAAAACCCAAAAGGAGAAAAGCAGAATACAAAAGCATCATCTCTTAAAAATTATATGCTCTCACTGTACATTTTTGGGTATAATTCTTCAACAAAACAATACAAATTAGGAAGATGGATAGGATAGGAAAATAATAATTCCATAGTATTATTAGATTTATTCAAATATTAAGAAAACAATCTTCTACTTCCTAAATAAAATAAAACAGATTTAATTTAAAAAAAATATTTTGGCTCATAGACAGATTTACTCTTACCTGAGGCAAGTCTATCTTACTCTCTTGTTTATGATTTGCTTTAACTGCACAAGAGTTCCACAACACATTCCTGCCACTTCCCATTTTATCCTTTTGCTCCAGAGGTTTCAAATGGGAGGCTAGAACAATATCTCTGCAGACAGAATGGAGGAAGATTTTAGAGACATTTCAGATAATCATTTCAGCAACAGCAACTTGGTTTAAAGCTACCAAATACTCATTTCATCTAATTATTAAAGAAATAGGAAAGTTATATCATGCATCTTGCCTCGTCTCTTAACTGTTAGTTTATGGGAAAGGCCGCTCTACCTTATAAAATTCTGGATAACAATATACAATAGAGATTGCAACATGTAGGAGGAAAAAGAATGCAGTAAAGAGAACACCTCTGCTTCTTCCAATTTTAACTGGTAACTCTAGCTTCTGTGTTATGTGCTCCAATTGTTGCTTCTTTCTCTGATATATTATGAAAAATAATAGGGGGAAGAGTGATTTAATTGTTAGTTATTTGGCTCCCTTCTCTCAGGTATGCAGAAGTTAAAATTGAAGGTGATGGAAGCTGCACTATATTGCTAACATATATCATAGAAATGAATATCTCTGCAGTCTTGTACTACATTTCCTGCACAAGATAAAACAACTGGACAAGAAAGTCTCCTAGATTGCTTTCTAATGCCTATATTCCATGATTAACATTTAAGTTGCTATTCAATGTAATATATCATCCAACATTCTACATGCAATGAAATAAACATTAAAGAACTACTAATGTTATGAGACATGTATTACTCTCCAGTTTTAACAGACCAATAGGCTACTATAAAATAAACGAATTTTTTCAGCACTAATAGAACAATGGGAAGGCAGCTGAAAAATAACTGTTAATACGGAAATTAACAGAAAAATTCAGATTTTAAAAATAACCAGAGTTTGGGCTCAAAATATACAAGAACCGATTTTATTGGAAACATGGGAGACAATTTGTATTAGAAATGTAAAATTTACTCAAGCCCAAAATTTAAGGGAAAAATTTTATAAAATGTTTTATAGGTGGCATCTGGATCCTCAAAAATTGTCCTACATGTATCCTAATTTACAACCTAAGTGTTGGAGATGTGGAAACTTAGATGCAATCTATTTTCATATTTGGTGGACATGCAGGGAAGTAAAAGCATTTTGGATTAAGATATGGTGGAATATTCAAAATATTTTTAAGAAAAAGATAAAGTTTAAACCGCAGATATTTTTGCTGGGTATTATGGAAGATTTGGATACAAAAGAAATGGACTTGATGTTGAACCTGATAACTGCTGCAAGACTACTAGTAGCTCAATGTTGGAAAACGGAACGTTTGCCCACTATAGAAGAATGGTCATTTAAAGTCTCAAATTTAGCAGAAATGGCCAAGATTTCACAAGAAAGATACATTTCGGTTTGGAGAAGATGGATAGATTATATTGAGAGTAAATATGGGACTAAAAAGTTTCATTTGGTTTTTGGGTGAATCTTAGAGTATTAATGTAGTTTATATGTTATAATAGTTTACTTATTTTTATTTCTAATTATTAATATGATGTTATAATTATTGTGTTTAATAGCAGTATATTTGTTTAAAAGAGAGTTAAAGGATGTTACAGATTTGTTATTTTAATAGTTGATTAATGTTAGATAGAGTATGATTATTGTATTGTTAACCCTGTGATTGGCTCTGGGAAGTGGGGGGGAGGGAGGGGGGAGTGGAAGGGTGGGTTTTGGGGAGGGGGGGAATTATATTGTAAAACTTTTATAAAATTTTCAATAAAAATAAATAAATAACCAGAGTTACAATACTTATATGTAAGTATTATTTAATTATTATATGTTTATAAATTTCCTAAATTCAAAGGAAGTTGCCCTCGTGGTTAATTAAATGTTTTATCCATATTCTGCATCAAATCAATAAAGGAATCTGAAAATCAAGAAACCTGAATTCTTCATAAGATGATACTTTCTGATGCACCGCTCGGAATTTAGCCTCATTTTCTCTCTGGTATTTCTCATCTGAGGCAATAGCTTCTTCCAGCTCTTTCTCCAAAGCATGGAAATCTATCATGCCTTCCACTTTGGAAACCTAAGAAGAACACAGCTACCCAATACATTAGATATTTAATTTGAAAAACTATGTATCTCAAATAATTGCATAAGAAAAAACAATCAGCTTCTTATAAAGCTGGTGAGTGAACTTATTCAGTAAAATCAGTCAAAATAAATAGATTGGTAGATTATAATTTTTTAAGAGTCAGTTCAACCACTATATCCTTGTTAGTAGATTCTGATATATAAGGGATTTTCTATTGAATGCACCCTTCTTTTGGGTCATTTTTTTCTCCAGAAACAAAAATTAAAATAAGCAAGAAAATGCTAAGAGAACACCTATCCAACCTTGACAAATATAAATCACCAGGGTCTGAGAGATTACAACCCAGAGTTCTGAAGGAGCTGGCAGATGTTATCTCAGAACCATTGCACCACATCTTTCAAAAATCCAGGAGCACTGGGGAAATACCTGAGGATTGGAAAAGGGCTGATGTGGTTCCCATCTTCAAGAAAGGGAAAAAAATGGACCCAGGAAACTACAGACCAATCAGTTTAACATCAATACCTGGGAAGATCCTAGAAAAGATAATCAAAAAACAGATCTGCGAATAACTAGAAGCAAACAAAGTTATAACTAGTAGCCAGCATGGATTTGTTAAAAACAGATCATGCCAAACCAATCTTATTTCATTCTTCGACAAAGTGACTAAACTAATAGACCAGCGAAATACTGTGGATGATAGATAGATAGATAGACAGATAGACAGACAGACAACCTTTATTGTCATTTTTTTCCTGTGGGCACAATGGCACACATTAAAAATGAAATTTAGTTGCTTCCTCTCAAAATGTATACATACATAACACATTTAAAACATACTACATACAACATACTTAGATTTCAGTAAGGCATTTGATAAAGTAGACCACAACCTACTCCTTGGTAAGCTAGAAAAAGCTAGAATAGACATCACCACCAGATGGATCTGTAGCTGGCTGGCAAACTGTACTCAAAGAGTAGTCCTCAATGGCACTACATCCACAGTAAGCAATGGGGGTACTACAAGGTTCTGTCTTAGGCCCAGTACTCTTCAATATCTTCATCAATGACTAAGATGAGGGAATTGAAGGGAAACTCATCAAATTTGCAGATGACACCAAACTGACAGGAGTAGCCAACACCCCAGAAGATCTTGACAAACTTGAACAATGGGTCCTATCCAATAAAATGAGTTTCAATGTGGAGAAAAGCAAAGTTTTACATTTAGACAGGAAAAATCAAAGGTACAAGTACAGATTGTGCAAGACCTGGCTTAAAACAGTAACTGTGAGAGGGACCTTGGAGTCCTAGTGGATGATCACTTAACCATGAGCCAGCAATGTGCAGCAGCAACCAAAAAAGCCAATACAATCCTGGGTTGTATAAACAGAGGCATAGAATCAAGACCACGCGAGGTATTCGTACCGCTTTATAAATCCCTAGTAAGACCACACCTGGAATACTGCAGCCAATTTTGGTCACCATATCACAAAAAAGAGTGTTTGGAAAAAATTCAGAAAAGAGTCCTGGAGACTAAAAGATATGAAGAACAGCTGCGGGCCTTGAGTTTGGATGGTCTAAAGAAAAGAAGAAATAGGGGTGACATGATAGCAGTATTCCAGTATTTGAGGAGCTGACACAAACAGGGCGTCAAATTATTCTCCAAAGCACCAGAGAGCAGGACAAGAAACAATGATTGCAAACTGATCAAAGAGAGAAGCAACCTAGAATTAAGGAGAAACTTCCTGACAGTGAGGACAATTAACCAGTGGAATAGCTTGCCCCCAGAAATCGTGGGCGCTCCATCATTGGAGATGTTTAAGAAGAGGCTAGACAGTCACTTGTCTGAGATGGTATAAGTTTTCCTGCTTGAGCAGGGGGCTGGACTAGAAGACCTCCAAGGTCCCTTCTATTCTATTCTTGGATCGGGTACTGACGGAAAGGAAGTACGTCAATATAAAAATAGTAAATAAGAAAGCAAGAACATATTCACCAACTCTCCCAGAAAATGGTAAACAAGTCGGCCCGAACTAATAACCTTTTGGCCACTCCATACTCAGTGCCCTCGGATTCTACAGGTTTATGTTTTATTTTACTATCCCATGCATACCGCAAAAACTGTTCTCGATTTCTCTCGCTAACCCGACCGTTACCAAATAGAAGGGAAGATTTTTCCACGTTTGTGGAAACGTGGTTCGATTGTTTCTTTTTCTGCCTGGGCCTCCACTTTCTATAGCAATTAAGCGTCAGTTCGGTTTCCATAACAATTAGAAAACGAAATGGCGAGATGGACCCATAGTGATCGGGGCAGTCTATAATATACGCCTGAGCGCAGTCAATGCTTATGAAAAATTTCAATTTTTCTACGGCCCGAAAAGAATCCAAACCGAATTTCTAATTCTCTCTCACTTTACAGCATCAGACAGAGGGAAAAGTGTGAAAAATCAATCAGGCTGCTAAATGGACAACTTTATCCGGAGGAAATTGAAGGGACTTTTTGTGCCATGGTCGCATCGTGCGCCGGCAAGGGAAACGTCTCGAGCAACGCGCGCTTCCTGAGAAGGAGAACAAAAAGAGGTAAGTGTGTGCGTGCGTTACTATTTCTTGTAAAGCCTTACGATATAAAATAAAATTCTTATTTCTAAAGTAATAAACGGCCGTTAGATTGCACAATGTCTTTCAGTAGGCTTAAAGCACGCGCTTCGTACTTTGAACGAACGTGCTGGAATTCGAATAAGCGGATATGGCAACGCGTAGAGATTTGAGATAACTCTACCTACCGTATGGAAGCTAATGGGAAGACAGATTTAGGGATTTTAAAAAACAAGACTTTGCAGTTTCAAATTGTAGAGAATAAATGTCTATACATCTTAGACAAGATTTTATTGAAACATACGTGCCTGTCTTTATTAATTGCAATACGAAAGAGATTAATATATACTTAATCTTCCTCTGAAATAAAAAGGACTCAACAGTAAAATCACATGCATTAAGATAGACTAGGTTTGTTGTGGAAAATAAAGCTACAGCTACCATGTGAATTCTGATAAGATGCTATTTTTTTGTTTCTTTTTCTTTTTCTAACCTATAACAAAAAGCTATCATATTCTAAAACTGGAACTTGCGACTGACAATTCTGAAAAAGATACTGTTGAATTAGAAGGACTAATACTTAAGAATAATTGTTCTTATTCTGTATAAGGTGAATGCTGTGATGTGAAGACAATTGTGGCTAAAAAGGAGTTGTAGAACTTATACCTGATAATTAAAATCAGGAAGAATTGTGGAAGTTGTTAGGGTTGATGAATAAAAAATACTCTTAGGTTAATACTGAAAGAAAGCTAATGAATTGATAGTTTATAACTGAAAACCTGAAAATAAAATGTGAAACTATAAGCAAGGAATAAGCTATTTAAAGGAGTAGTATTAAATGCTGATAAAATATCAAGCTTGCAATAAAATTAGGGTATCAAGATAATAAATTGAAAAGTATCCCAATATGAATCCTGCAAGCAGGGGTAAGGCACATTAAATAAGTTGCAAAGCAATCAAATATTAAAGTAATATTTTCAGAATACAAACTAGCTCTATTTAATGATTTATTTTTATATTCAAGACCCAGCAACATGGATACAGACTTGTATGATGAATTTGGAAATTATATTGGTCCAGAGCTTGATTCTGATGATGACGATGATGAAATGGGTCGTGAGTCAAAAGATCTTGATGAGGTACTGATTTTATGCTTCTGCTACAAACAATATTTATGCTTAAGATCATCCCTTAGTTTTTTATATGCTTCTGTAATTCAGTTTCTGTAATGAACAGATTAAAGATTAAGCTGTTATTTTGCATCTCTTGGTACTGAAAACAGTGTAAGCCTTAATTTTCAGAGTAGCTGTTAACATGATGCTGAGAAAGTACTTTCTTGTTTGGCAGCATTTTACAAACTATCCAATATGCACATATGTTTGCAAGTTATAACTGAATATAGATATCAGCCCTAAATTCTGTAAGTGGAAGTCTATTATTAATAATTGGCTGAGGGCAATTTGTTTTTGTTTCAGCCTGATGATGATGATGACGACGATGATATGGGAGACCATGATGAAGATCACCCTGGGATGGATGTAGTGTTGCATGAGGATAAGAAATATTATCCAACAGCCGAGGAGGTATATGGTCCAGAAGTAGAAACTATAGTGCAGGAAGAAGATACACAGCCTCTTACAGGTGAGAAATTTAAATGTTGCAACTGGCATAAAAGAACAACTTTTGCTTCTTCAAGAAGTATTAAAATACACTGAGTTTTTTAAAAAGAAAAATAAAACTAAAAAACCTCCTGATACTAAAGAGACATAAATAGAGCTGCTAGATAAATCTTCCTGAACTAAAAAAGTATATGAAATTCTACCACATGTGAAAAACTAGATATCATGGCGAAAGGTTGCTGTATTAACCCATATCGAGATCTGTTTTATATTTATTCTTTTGCACAGAACAGCATATATGGATACTGATATGTAATGCTATATTTTAGTTCTAATATTAACCCTGATCAAGAGATCTGTTTTGTGTTTTTTATTTTGCACAGGACAATATATATGGATGTGATTTGCCATGCTATATTTTAGGCCAGATGTTATACATCAGTGAGAACTAAGACAAATATATTGTTCTGTCTAATGTGCTATTAATTACATTCACTATTTGATATTTGGGAAATATTCCCAGCCTCTTTTTAAGCAAAAAATATATCTTTTTATTTGTCAAGCATAAATCAGAAATCCATGGAATTCAGTTTAAAATTTGTGGCATGTGAAGCATGCATTATTGAATCTTTTCTCACTGATCACTGAGTTAGAAATGCCTTGTTTTCCCGTTAAAGACAGTATTATTTCAATGCTTTCTTTTCCTACAGAACCTATTATTAAACCAGTGAAGACCAAGAAATTTTCCCTCATGGAGCAAACATTGCCAGTTACTGTATATGAAATGGAGTGAGTAGAACTTTGGATTTGTTTGTTTTCCCTCTACTTTTCCCTCCAACTCTTACTACTGTTTTTGCTTCTTTCTGTTCTTTTCTGCACAGCTTCTTTACAAATTGGCCACTAAAAGATTTAGTTGTTACAGTATCCATTTTAATTTGCATTATGTTCTTGTGTTACTGCACTACTCTTCTAAGTATCAGCCCCTTAATCTATTTTATGTAATTATCCTTGCACTCATACATTGTTTTAA